AGGAGATAATGGAAAAAAGTTGATATTTGAAGAAATAATGTGTTAGAATTTTACACACACACAAAAGAATCTTCATATCTTGGAAGCACAGAATATCACAAATGGAATTAATATAATAGCCACTTAGACACATAATGGGATCTTGGTGTGGTATTGTAGGATAAACACTGGACTGCAAACTGCAAGGTCAGTGTTTCAAATCCACCCACCACTCCTCAGAAACTCTATACAGGGTTAATATGAGTTGGAACTGACATGATGACACTTAACAACATGCATTGCTGTGGGTTAATGCACTAAACCACAAGCTTGGTTTGAACTACAAGGTTGGCAGTTCAGGCTCACCAGCCACTCCTTGGAAACCCTATACAGGGCCAATATGAGTCAGAACCCACTCGATGGCACTAAACAACAACAACAGATACACAATAAAACTAGATCATCAAAGCCAAAGACATTTTCAGGGCCACCTAAACGGAAGCACTGACTGACTGATTAATAGCAATAATGGCAACCACAAAGACATGCTTTCCTCTTTGTGGGAAAAAAAGAAATGTAAGCACAGAATTTTACATGAAATGAAATTATTTTTCAGGAAAGAGAAAATATATTCTTAAAAGGCATAAGGGAAAATAAAGGGACCCAGAACAGTCCTGGGAAAAAAACCAACAAGTTGAGAAATCTAGAAATTTGGAATTCTGGTGTGGTGCTGTGCAACAAAGCGCTGGACCACAAGGTCAGTATCAACCACAAGGCTGGTGGTTCACACTCACCAGCTGCTCCTTGGAAACCCTACACAGGGCTGCTATGACTTGGAACCAACTCTATAGCGTGTAACAACAACAACTACAATTGCATTATAGTAATTATGGCAACATGCTATTGAGGCAAAAATAGTCATATGGACAAATGAGAAAGTACATATAATCTAGAAAGTAACTCATATGTATACATTTATACATAGATTTATATGTGTGTACACCAACTCTATAACACTTAACAACAGCATACATAATATGAGTCTTGGTGTGGTACTATAGGACAAGCACTCAACTGTTAACTGCAAGATCAGAAGTTCAAACCCACCAGCTGCTCCTCGGAAATTCTGTACAGGGTTATCTACAAGTTGGAACCAACTTGACAGCACTTAACAAAACAAACATATATATATATATAAGGAGTCTTGGTGTGGCACTTTAAGATAAACAGGATCACAAGGTCAGTTTAAACCACAGGATCGATGGTTCAAACTGACCAGTCACTCCTCAGGACTGAGTCGACAACACTTAACCACTTAACAACTATCTATATTCAGAGTCCTGGTGTGGTGCCATAGGATAAGCACTGGACTGCTAACCAAAAGGTTGGTGGTTCAAAGCCACTTCTTGGAAACCCTATATAGGATCACTATGAATCGGAACTGACTCAATGGCATTTAACAACAATAACAACTTGACTTACAACAGAGCAATACAGATTATATAAAGTAAATGTAATTATCCATATGGTAAAAAATTAAATAGAATCCCTATCTCACATTAATAGAATCCGTATCTCACCTTATTCATAAGTTACTTATAGATTTGTTAAAACTTACATTTAACTTATAACTGCTATAAAATGTTATTACACATTTCACTGAATATGTCTTTGCTTTTGTTGGGCACTGTGGAGTCAGTTCCAACACAGGGCCACTCTGAACAAAACTTTGCCTGGTCCTGAGTCATCCTCATGATTCTTGTTACGTTTGAACCCTTTGCTGCTGCTGCTGCTTTATAAATCCATCTTGTTGGGATTTTTTCGCTTTTTTATTGACTTTCTACTTTATCAAGTATGATGTCCTTCTCTAGGACCCAATGTCTCTTGATAACATGCCTGAAATATTAGAGACAAAGTCTCTAGCTTCTTAGGAGCATTCTGACTATATTGCTTCAAACACATTTTTGCTTATTCTTCTGGTACTTCTAATATTCTTCTCCAACACCATAATTCAAATGCACTAACTTTTCTCAGGTCTTCCTATTCATTGTCCAACTTTCACATGCATATGAGGCTGTTGAAAATACCATGACTTGAATTAGGTATGCCTTACTTCTCATACTGATAGTTTTGCTCTTTAACACTTTAAAGAAATCTTTTGCTGCCGATTTGATTATTGCAGTATGCCATTTGATTTCTTGACTGCTGCTTTAGTGAGTGCTGATTGTGGATCTGAGAAAAATTATAGATTGGTAATATAGTTCTGGTATGGCACTGGAGGATAAGCACTGGATCACAAAGTCAGTGGTTCAAATCCATTATGAGTCTTAACTGATTTGAAGGCACTTAACAACAATGTAGGAGACTAAGGTCTCCCAGCAAGGCAACTCATGAACATCTAGTATTCATCTATCACTGAAGGTTTCAATGCTTCTATGATCCTGAGTAGGTTTCTGTTGAGCTTCCAGACTAAGAGATTAGGAAGAAAGGCCTAGTAATCTATTTTAGAAAAATCAGCCAGTGATAATCCTATGGATGACAATGATAATGATCCTGTTGTGTACTGGGTCACTGTGAATCAGGAACCAACCCAACAGCAACTTAACAGTGACAACATTCATCAAAATCTACATATAGAACAGATACACACAATTCAATCTATAAACTGGGAGAAAATATATGGAAATATTTCAAATTTAAATTTTCTCCTTAAAGTCAATGAGTAAATGACAAACAACTAAGTGGAAAAATGACAAAAAGCATCTACTAGCATTTCTCAGAATAAGAACATAAAGATCCCACAAATACATGAAGCAATTTATATATATTTTATTAATTAATGATATAAAAATTAAATCTGCAATATTATTTTGTGCCTGTCAGTGCTCCAGAATTTAAATTTTTTAAAAAGTCAATCAGTAACTACTATTGGCAAAGACCTAGAGCAAGGGAATTCTCATTTACTACTTGGGATAGAAACTGCTACAACCACTTAAGAAAAGAATTTGAGATTATATAGTAAACCTGCACATATATATTCCTTATGATGCCGTATATTCACAGATATTCGTCTGGGAGAAACATTTGAACATGTGTGCCAAGGATGTTCATAGCTACATCAAAATACAACAGTAAAATATTTGGAACAACACAAGTGTTCTACAGTAGCTGAGTCAATTAATAATTCCAATTACATAATAGAAAGTTGTACAGCAATTAATGTAATGAACAGCTACACATAAACAAAATTAGCAAGAGGTTACGATAATAACTATGATAAGTCGGTTAATGACAAAAAACCATGATGTTGAGCAAAGGAGGTAGAAGAATAGATCTAGTATTAAGATTCCACTTCTACAGTGTTCATACACAGGCAACATGAAATATTTTAGGATATAGACATAACTGTAAAATTTTAAAGAAAGCAAGGAAATAATCAACACAAAAATATTGTTCAGAAGTTATCTCTGGATTTGAGGAGGGAAAAAGTGTGGCCTGGGAATGCCACAAAGGTAGTTTCTAAATGCTCTATTTCTTAGCCTATCCAGTGAATACATGGGTGCTGATTATACTTTGAATAATTAATATAGTTTTAATAAATTTTAATATGATTAATAGGAAAAATTTTATAATATAAACCTATACGATTTCTCTTGCTTAACCACATAATTCTATTGCTCTTTCATGAAAATTATCATTTGTAACTATATATTTACTTGACTGTTTACTTGTTTAATATCTGTCCTTAACTAAGCTATATGCTCTATGAAAACTGAAGCCATGTCTGTTTTGGTCACTATCATTGATTCTGAAATGATTCCTTCTATTTAAAATCAAGAATGGTCCTGTTTTAAGGGTTTGAGCATACTTCCATTTGTGAAAATGAGTGTCACCAAAGTTGGAGTGGGAAGCTTTACTACAGCAATGTAAGATAACAATAGTTTAGGAATGTCCCTGGTACATGATTATTGTTGTTAAATGCCACGGAGTCAACTCCGACTCATAGCAACCCAGTATAGGGTTTCTGAGGCTGTAATCTTTGTGGGAGCAGAAATCCTCATCTTTCTCCAGCAGAGTAGCTAGAAGCCTCCAACTACCAACCTTGACTGGAAATCTAGTTATTTGCCTACAGAGCCACCAAGCTCCCCTTGTCCATGGGAAGTATTTGATAAAGGCCAGCAGCTGTTGACACTGGGAATATGGTGTGGGGCTCCTAATATTTTTATTTATCTCTATGATCAAATCTGGTTGTCTAAGTGTTTGTTTCATTCAAATCTATTTAATCAAGAGAATAATTATGTCATAGTCATTCTCTCTTGCTACTTATATATAAACATGTAGAATAGTTTACCAATTCAGAAATATTGATGATGGTATCAACCACTGAAAACTAAGGAAGTACTACGAAATTGGGTTTAACTTTAGCTTTCATAGTAGATCAGAAAGGTCCATAGATAAAAACAAAATCAATGCAATAGGCTCATATTCCCTAATATTTAAGTTTTCATTCATGAATACATTGGATGATTCATTTCATTGCTTTGGAGACAGTAATACCTAAACCCTTATATTAGGGAAAAACCATAAAACCAACAAATCAACAAAAATCATAAGAGATTATGTTAACCTTAAGTAGAGGAAAATCGTAGGAAAGTGCTGATTAGAACCCAAGTATGGAAGAATCCTGGTGTGGCTCTGTGGACTGCAAAGTCGGTTTGAACCGCAAGGCAGCGATTCAAACTCACCAGCTGTTCCTCGGAAACCTTATACAAGGTAACTATGGATGAGAACCAACATGAAGGCACTTAACAACAACATAGATGGGAAAATTAAATAGCCATATGGATTTCTAAGAATCACAGAACTGGAAAATTAAGTTCGATTTTTATGTAAATTTTGCAATCCATCCCATTAAGTGCAATGAATATTGAATTATTTTCATTTCTTAAAATTGAATCATAATAATAATGCTAATAAAAGCTACCATTAGTGTGATTGGCTAAATTGTTCTAAAAAAATGTCTAAGATTTTGCTTCTGCAGAGTCAAGTGCAGAGATGAGCAGAGTAACAAATTTATAAACATCATGGAAAGAATTGTAGAGAGGAACCGGAGCCACTCGAATGCCATTTGGTTCCCGCTTGTCACACTGTAGGGGGGAGAAAATAAAGCCACAATCATGTTACATTATCATATAATGAAAAGCTACATTTAACATAAAGTATTCATCATGGTTTTCCTAAACTTAATGTATAAGAAATAAACATTTTCACTTTAAATAAAACACAGTGTTTTTTTTTTTTTTTTTTAAGTTTCTCTTATTGGTAATTAAAATACTAATAGGTTCTTTTATGGACTTCTGTTGTGGTGCTGTAGGATTAGCACTGGACTAAAAGGTCAGCAGTTCAAAATCACCAGCTGTTCCTTGGAAAACCTATATAGGGTCACTATGAGTTGGAACCAACTCAAATGCATGTAACAGAAGCAACAACAGATTGTTAGATGGACATCCAAAGAACTTTCCTGACAGTCCCTCAGCAAGTATCATCTTTAAGCATCCAAAGATCCTCTATAAAATCTGTATACTGTTGTTGTTAAATGCCATTGAGCTTGTTCCGATGCAGAGGAACCCTATATAATGTTTCCTAGGAGTGGCAGGTGGGTTTGAAGCACCAACCTTGCTGTTTCTACAGGAGACTCTAAAGGGACTTGAACATGTGGGGAAATTTAGTCATTTTTCTTTACATTTTTCATGATCTTGAGTTAAACAGCTGGTTACAGTCTTTGGGACACTAAAAGGTGCAAAAGTAGAATCAGAAAAGTAGGCTTAGCTTGAAGATCACCTCTGGATTTCCTTTAAAAGCACCTAAGTATAGGCTAGACACTATAGTACATGTTTAATATGTGCTGTTCCATTTAATTTTCATAACATCTCTTTGAGGTAAGTATATTTAAACCAAAATGCAAATAAGATATCTCAAGCTGGTAGATGTTATTTAACTTTTCTAAGAATATAAAAGCTGGAAATGACATGGCTTCATTTGAATTCTGATATTCAGAACTTGCGCCTCCCGAATATAAGGTGTTGTTGTTAGGTGCCTTCCTTCAAGCCTGTTCTGACTAAAAACTGGGCCATCTTCACAAACATCGTTATACTAGAGTCTAGTGTAGTTGCCACTTTGCCAATCCATCTCATTGGAGATCTTCATAGTTTTCAATGACCCTCCACTTTACTAAGTATGATGTCTTCTTCCTTATCATGAGCTTTGAGAGATGAAACCTCGCTATCAAGGCTTCTAAGGAGCATTCTGGCCATACTTCTTCCAACACAGATTTGTTCATTCTCTGGCAGTCCGTGATACTTTTGATGTTCTTCCCCAGCATCATAAGTCAAGTGCATCAATTCCACTGTAGTCTTCTTTATTCATTGTCAAACTTCCATATGCATATGAGACTATGGATAACACCAAGGGTTGGGTCAAGCACATCTTACACAGAAAACTGATATATTTGCTCTTATACACTTTTAAGAGGTCTTGTGAAGCAGATTTACCTAATGCAATACATGGTTTGATTTCTTGACTACTTCTTTCAAGAGTGTTGAGAGTGGGTACAAGAAAAATGAAGTCTTTGACAACTTTAATCTTTTCTCCATTTATCATGATGTTATTTATTATTTCAACAGTGAGGTTTTTGGTTTTCTTTACATTGAGGTACAACCTGTATTGAAGACTGTGGTCTTTGATGTCCATCAATAAGTATGTTAAATCCTCCTCATTTTCAGTATGCATATAAAGCTGTATACTCTGCATATCACAGGTTGATAATGAGTCGTCCTCCAATCATCATGCATGTTCTTAATTGTATAATTCAGCTTCTCAGATTATTTGCTCAGCAAACAGATTGAATAAGTATGGTGAAATAATAAAACCTAGGCACACAACTTTCCTGATTTTAAACTATTCAGCATTCCCTTGTTATGTTCGAATGACTGTCTTGGTGTATGTACAGGATCTACATGAGCAAAATTAAGTATTCTGGAACACCCATTTTTTGAAATGTTATTCATAGCTTGCAATGATCCACACAGTTGAAAATTTTTGTATAGTAAATAAAGCACAGGTAAACATATTTCTGGTATTCTCTGCTTTCAACAAAGTTCCATCTGATGTCAGGATTGATATACCTCATTCCACGTACTCATGTGAATCCAGCTTGTACTTTTGGAAGTTCCCTGTCAATGTACTGTTGCATCTGTTTTTGAATTATCTTTAGCATAATTTTACTTGTATATGATATTAATGATATTGGCCAATGATTTCTATATTTGGCTGGGTCACCTCTCTTTGGAATAAGCAAAAATATGGATCTCTTTCTGTCAGTTGGCCAGGTAGCTCTCTTCTAAATTTCTTGGCATAGAAGAGCAAGTGCCTCCAGTACTGTATCAGTTTGTTGAAAAATTTCAGTGTGTATTCCATCAATTCCTACAGTCTTGTTCTTTCATGCTTTCAGTACATGCTTTCAGTACACCTTAGACTTCTTCCTTCAGTACCATTGGTTCTTGAGCATATGCTACCTCTTGAAATGGTTGAACATCCACCATTTATTTTTGGTACAGGGACTCCATGTATTTCTTTCATCTTCTTTTAATGTTTTCTGCATCATTCAAATTTTTGTCCATAGAATCCTTCAGTATTTCAGGTTGAGATTTGAATTTTTTCTTCTGTTCTTTCACTTTAAGAAATGTTGAGTGTGTTCTTCCCTTTTGGTTTTCTAACTCCAGGTCTTTGCACAATGCATTATAATACTTACTTTGTCTTCTTGAGCTGCACTTTGAAACTTTCTCTTCTGTTGCCTCCTCATTTCTTCTATTTACTTTAATACCTGTACTCTGTAGAGCAAGTATTAAAGTCTCCTTAGACATCCATTTTGATCTTTTCCTTCTTTCTAATCTTCTTAATGAACTTTTTTTTTTCTCTCTCTAGGATGTTCTTGATCTCATCCCATAATTGTTCTAGTCTTCAGTTATTAGAATCCCTTAAGGATTTAAAGCCCGGGAAACCATATACAGGGTTGATATCTATGAATTGGAACTGACTTGATAAATTTACCAACAACAACAAATCTGGTAGTGTTCCACCGTCATTCAGAAATGGCTAAACATTCGGAAGTAGTTTGCCTCTCCCTGTTCTTAGCCTGGAAGATCAGCTGAAACCTGTCCACCATGGATGACCATGCTGGTATTTAAAATACTGGTGGCATAGCTTTCAGCATCACAGCAACTTGCAACCAACCACAGTACAACAAACTGACAAACAAATAGTGAGAATCTAAGGTAACCTCTCCCAAAGGTTTGGAGTGGTATGTGAATGAAACATTTTATGAATTACATTATCAATAGAGTAATATGTACTAAAATCTTTCAGCTAACATTTATTCAGTCTCTTGACAAAACTAAGGTCACTTGAGTCCATTGGTTAAAAAATCATCCTATTCAATATTGCCATTTTTTAAGTATATTTACATATTTTTCTTATAAAGTGGCATGGTTAATAACAACTTAGTTCAATTAAATAAGCAAATAAGATTGATTTTCCCCTTATTACATTACCATATTGCTTAGTTCCATGTTATTGTTAGGTCCATGGAGTCAGTTCCAACTCACAGTGACCCTATACACAGCAGAACGAAATACTGACTGATCCTGTGTTATCTTCAAAATTGTTGCTATTTTTTAGCCCAATGCTGCGGCCACTGTTTTTCTCTAGTTCCATGAGTCATTTGTTCCTTGCATCAAGTAATATATATTGGAATTTTCACTAGTGAAATAATGTAATTAATGCCACCTTCAACTGCTTCCTGTAACCAAAATTTATGATTTTTCTTTTATTGGAAATGACAGATCTTGGTGCCTGTCAACTCACAGTGTGTTGAATGCTTAATTGATCCTTAATTCTTACACAATGATTGTTGACTGATGTGAAATAATATGGGACAGTAAATACAACAAAGAGCCCAAATTTTATCCTATCAACATGCAGCCTACCAAGAAAATCAGGAAGCAAACAAAAAAATGTACTTACAACTACTCCTCTTTTTTCTAGTTCTTTGAAAATGTATTTCATTGGAGCAGAAAATGTTAGTGTTAACTGGCAGCCTCGATCTTCTATATTGGATGGAGTAATTATGTTCACATGTGGTTTCTTGCTTTCTGCTTTATCTTTGTTATAGTAATGCTTGATCATGTACTCCAGATAACCAGTTAGCAGAATAGATTTTCTCCTCAATGCTTTCATGGTTGTTTGTTTAAAGACCTACAGAATCAGAAACAATCAGATTAACAATGCAAACATTAACTGAAAATTATGCACAAAAAGGAAATGACCACTTTTGACCTTTCCAACGAAAAGTTTAAAAAAAAAATGTGCCCTCTTTTTTAATGTTTTGCTATTACAAACTAAAAGCTAAATTTCTATAATAGATAAGCTGTATAAATATTATATAAACAATACTTGAAAAGGAAGAAAAGATAAATTAATATAATGTGCCTTCAGTGTAATTTGCTTAATCTGATCATTAAGAAAAACACACCTTATGTTTCACAAACAAATGCATTTGAATATCATATAACTTAATTTTCCCCCAAAACCATTCTATAAAACCACAATAAAGAATTTTTTTCCTATTTGATGTACATTTTTGTTTAGTGCATTGCAAACTAAATACACTTGAATATATGAAAGATAGTGTTATCAATATTATTTATAATTGGTTTCATCATTCCTAAATAATCTCCTTTTTGACACAAAGAAAACAGTTACATAATAAAGCCAAATGTTCTTAGATAAAGAGGCAAATAATTGCTAGATAATGTAACTCTTATTGTATTGTAGTATTGCATTGATTGTTGTTGTTAAGTGCCGTTGAGTTGGTTCCAACCCATAACAACCCTGTATAAGGTTCCCGAGGACCAGCTGGTGAGCTCGAACTGCTGACCTTGCAGTTCAAACGGCTTTGCAGTCTGGCACATTAACCCACAGCGCCACACCAGGACTCCATTGATAGTTGACATTAAGTTGATTCCAACTCATGGCAACCGTCTGTATACAAAGTAGATTTATACTTCAGAGGGTTTTCAAGGTTGTGATCCTTCAGAAACTGATCACAGGTCTGTTATCTGAAGTACCTCTGGGTGTGTCTGAATGGGAAACCTTTTGGCTGGTAGATGAGCACTTAACCATTTACAAACTTCAGTGATTCCTATAGATTTTATTACTGAAATGCTCATATTCCTCCCTCTCTTTATATTTTTACTCGACTAAGTTCAAATTTTGGCATGAAGTGCTGTCAGAAGTGACTTATAGTAAGATGAGAGGCAAGTGCACACAGTAAATTGTGTTGGTACCTCGGGGTCAGAACAGATAGGCTTTTCTAGCTTATCTCTTAAGGTCAAGTAGAGTTTAAAAATATATCCTACATATGAGTACTAAATGAACTGTAAACAGAGCATGATACATGGCATGCTCCTTAATGGCCCTTTTCTGTACTATGTTATATTACAGAGTCAAGATAGAGTTATTTGGTGATGTTTAGACACTGGGAAGTGTATGAAGTTAGCTAGTTCCATAATCATATGTGACATGATTAGGCATGCATTCCAGTTAGACTCAAATAGAGGCTCACTTACAACCAGTTTGCATTTTATGGAGAACTGAACTGAAAGCATACTGGTAAGGCGTTTTTAAACGGCTGCATGAAGGCTATTTATTTGATTGAAAGACAGTGTTGGGGTTATATTAAAGGAAATGTTATCTAAGGAAGGGAGGAGAAATGAAAAGGCAGGATGGTATTTGTTTCTTTCTCCAGCTATACTTCAAAGGCTGTCAAAAGTGCAAAAAAAAAAAAACTGAACTGAAAGTAGATGTTACCATCACTGCTTTTGGAAACATCTAGAGTCTGGGGAGCAAACATGACTTTTAAGGAGATGAGTATCCAAGTTACAATGGGTTTGGTATCTCATTATTTCCTTGCGTAAAACAAAATGTAGGTAAATCTATCACAATGCAGACTCAAGAAAACAGAACTGGGATTTAGCAGAATCAATGTTCTTGCTAAAGGCAGGGGCAGAGACATGCAAGGCATATTCTACAAGTGGTTGACTGTCAGGGAGCAATAAGAAGTGAGAGGATTGAAAGTAATATAAGATGAATCTTCCCAAGATCCACTTAGGAAATTTCCAGAAACATGTCTAGGTCATTTCCTGGTTCCATTATGTTGTGTGATGTTGAGTTGAAGCCAACAATTAGCAACCCTACATGAAAGAGTAAAACTTCCCTATAGGGTTTCCTAGGTTGTAAGCTTTATGGCAACAGATAACCAAGTCTTTTCTTCAATGGGGTGGCTGGTGGGTTTTAACTACAAACCTTGAATTTAGCAATCAGGTGCCATTATATACAGGTAGTTGTTGTTGTTGTTAAGTGCCGTGGAGTCGGTTCCGACCCATAGCTACCCTGAACAGGGTTTCCGACGCTGTAAATCTTTATGGGAGTGGAAAGTCTCATCTTTCTCCCGCGGAGCAGCTGGTAGTTTCAAACTGTTGACCTTGCAGTTTGCAGCCCAATTCGTAACCACTATGCTACAATGTGTAATGTATTACATTTAATGTGATTTCATTAGTGTTCATAAGTTAGTACTTAAGTTTGTAATTTTTTTTTAAATGTGATTCACTCTTGTAAATTTATCATGATAATTGGGAACCAATTTTTTAAATGACAGATAACTCAATTTCAATATATCATAGAGTGTTGTAACTTTTTAATAATAAATTCACTTTCAAATATAAAGTTGTCTCTTACATTATAACCATAAGAGAGACAATTCTATTATCTGGTACTCTTAACGTCTTCTCACAGAGTATACAATTATATTCTGAGCTTTATATAAAAATAGTAAGAGGTCCCAGTCAATATGGCACCACAGACACATGCAACACAATGACTCCTGATAGCAAAGACTTAAGCTATGAGGCAAAACAGACACACAAAGAAACAACTATGGAGGGATTTCCAGCAAGATGGCAGACTACACAGATGCGCTACACAGACCCTCTACAACAAAGATACAAGAGACCAAATGAAACAGACACAGAAGAAACCCTGAACTGGAGAGGAAAGGTTAGAGAAGTGGATTGAGTGCTTGCTGGGAGAAGTAGCTGAATGGGGCAGTGTGAGAGGGAGACTGACTGATGAACACCAAGCATACAAGGCAAGACTATCTTGTAAGTAACTTTGGCAACAGAGGGAGGCCTGTGAGAGTAGATTCACACAGGCAACCAGAAAGATGTGATTCTTTCTTTTCCCCCATGCTCCCCTGGAGACCAGAGGTGTGGCCAGCTCCCACCTTCAACTATCCCCAACACAGACCCTACTCTCCAGGACTTCCAAACCACATGGTTGGAAGGCATGCCAGTGTGACACAGGGCTAGCTATGTCACTTTGGAGGCTGGATTTAGGCAGGCTCAGCTCCATACCTACAGATCCCACAGAGCCACCAGACCAGCATATAACCAGTCACCCTGTCCCTAGCTGCCATGTGGTCTGTAACAGACACTGGATCCATCTCCTTCAAGGGCTTCCAGGAACTACTTACAGATGGAGTGCCCGGTACATAAATAATACCAGAGCTGACAGGACTTCATCTAGGGTCCGGGACTCTGCTGTCATATCCCTCCCACATCCATTTTGTGAGCTCTTTAGCTTGCAGGAGCGCCTGAGACTTTTGGGTTTGGTTTTTTCATTTTGTTGTTTCACTGTTTTTGTTTTATCCTTTCTCCTCCTTCTTCTGTTTTCTTTCCCTTGAATTTGTATCTTACTTTTGTTTTTCCTTCTTTTTTTTTTCTTTCTCATCCCCCTTCTTCTTTCTTTCCTTCCCTCCCCCACTTTGATCTTTCTTTACTACTTTCTATGTTCTATTTTCATCTTCTCTCTCCCTGGTTTTTCTAAGTGATTTTTTAAAAAATTATTATTAGTTCCTCTTTAATTTTTCTCTTCTACAGCTCCATTGTCTTGTCCCTTTTCTCTTTTTAGTTATTGTAAAATGTTTTACATATTTTTTTTATTTTATTTTATTTTCTCTCTTATGTTTTCTTCTATAGTTCCACTTCTCGGTCCCTATTTTGTCTTTATAGTTATTATGTTCCTTTTTCTGGTCACTGCCTATTTTTCTTTATTTTATTCTCTTGATTATTTTCTCTTTTCATTGTCAATTCCTTGTTTGTTTATTCTGTTTTGTTTTCTTGCATGTCTGTATGTGAGGGGTTTTGTCTTGTCCACTGGATAGGAAACAACTGTGTCCATATAGCCCAGCCAAACTGTTTCCTTAGCAGCCCTCCCCACTGGGTAAGAGACAAAACCAGCTCCTATATCGCCTGATCAATGATAGACAGCAGCCAACACTAACCAAAACCACCATAAACTGAGATAAACTAACAGCACAGGAAAAGCATGCACATGCTTCCATTCTCTAACTACACCCACAAGAGATAGCTCATAAGCGCATAAGAACACATCAATACACAATCATCAATTAAAAACAAACACAACAACCCCACAATGTCCCGGACACAATACACACTCTTAGCTCACAGAGAATAGCTCGAATAAGTGACCAAGATGTAGAGCCTGAAAACATCTCTGAAGAAGAAAAGATAAAGGAACTAACTGAAAAAGAATCCATTAGAATATTATCTAGGTAACTTCAAAAGATTGACAGGAAGATCAGGAAAGCAATGAGAACATAGAAAAAATGTTGGAGGAATTCTGTGAAACACTAAAAGAACAAATGGATAAAACAAATGCAAATTTTGAAATAATATAAAACCTTCAATTAGAAACTCATAAGATTAATACTAAGATTTCATAAGTGTGCAACACATTGAAAAATCAAAGGCATAGATTTGAAGCAATGGGAGTCATAATAAGTGGGCTTGAGATAAATTTACCCTATCAATACTAGTATACTAGAAGAATAATCAGAAAAAACAATGAAAATATGTGAAGAACACCTAAGAATTACATGGAACACCATGAAGAGGAACAACTTTTGCTGTTGTTAAGTGCAGTCAAGTCAGTTCTGACTCATAGTGACTCTATATAGGGTTTCCCTGGAGCAGCTGATGGGTTTGAACTGCTGACCTTCTGATTTTCAGTCCTGTGCTGATCCGCACGCAGTACCACACCAGAATGACTTATGGTCTGATCAGAATTTCAGAGCAGGAAGAAACATTAAAAAGTAGAGAGAAAATTGTGAAAGAGCT